AAGAAGACGACGCCGCCTGCCACGGGCAACGTGGCTAAGAAGACGCCGCTCCCCACGGGCAAGAAGACGGACGGCGCGGCTGGGAAGGACAAGCAGCGCAAGTGGGCGAAGCCGAGGTGGGAGATGCAGACCACGCGCAACTTGGCGAGCGGGGTTGAACCTCCCACCGATGAGGCGTCGGGCGCGCGCGGCGATTCCCAGCAGCCCCGCTGGGGTCGCAGTTTGCGCGCCCGCCGCCTTTCAGGCGACTGTTCATCGTTGCTCCGCCCCCCAGGTGCAGTTCCGCAGCGGCAGGGTCGGCGTCCCTGGCAGCAACGTCAGCCTGAAGTACATCGCGGGCGATGAGGCCGACAAGGCCAGATTCTCACCGACGCCCTTCTCGACGCCCTCCTCCGCGCTCTCTTCATTTTCGCCCCTGCCTCGACGCCCCCTCCGCCCCCTGCTGCCTCGTTGCGCCCGATCGCTCCGAGGCCAGGGCCATCGCGGAGGCGGAGGAGCTGGTCAAGAAGGAGCTCGCCGCCAGGGCGCGCGGCGAGTAATTCGCGCTACGACTCTTCAACTCTCCAGGCCAACGGGGCGGCCTCGGGATAACAAAAAGGTCGTGGCGGATATGCCGCCTCGTGGCGGATATGCCGCCTTGTAGCGCAGCCTTCTCGCCTTCCAACTCGTGGCGGACATGCCGCCCCCGCCCCACCCCTTTGCGCTCCTCCGCCCTTCAGGCGGACATGCCGCCGCCCCCCTCCCCTACTCGGCCCACTCCGCGCCCCCGCGCCACGTCCCTGCGCCCCCCTCTCCGCTGTCAGGCACTGGATCCCACGCCAACTAACGTCGGGGAGACGCCCACTGCTCGAACGGCGAAGGCGTTCACCCAGAATGGCATGGGCGCGCGCGAAGGCACCGACGTTGCCACCGCCCGTTCAACGACGAAAACAAGTGAACCAAGACCTGCACATTCAAAGGGACACCAGTTCACTTATATTTCTGGTTCCCAATGCCACCCTCACTCTGCCCCCTCCCCCGAGACCCCGTCGCAAGAACCAGCGGGGCCCTTCTGAGAGGCCCCCGAGGGCTCGAGGAGCTCCAAGACTTCAATGGGTCCATGGGCAACCCCCTCCCCCTCCTCCCGAAGTCTCGCTTCCGCGTCCGATTCCATTTCGGTTCAAGCCCGCGGCCCGCGGGTGCCCGCGAGCCCGCGCGGGGTTGGCCCCCCCCTTTCGCGCCGACGCGTGGGCTGGGGCCCGCGCGCCGAGGCTGCGCCGCAGCCACCGCGTCGCGCTCGGCGCCTCGCACTGCGGCCGCGGCCATGGCAGACAGCGGCAGCGCGTTCGACGCGTTGGAGGCAGCTGCATCGCCAAAACAAGTGGCCCCGCGTGCGGTAGCCAGGGACGCGCGCATCGCGCGCGAAACTGGCTGGCCGCTCTCGGTCGAACTGTTTTGGCGATTCGGCGCAGGAGATGTTCGGGCCAGCGATGCAGTTGCTCTCCGACCTTGCGGGCGTGGACAACAACGCAGGGGATCGGTCTTCCTCCGCCAGCGGCAGTCGGCCAGCCAGCGCGCCCACGTTGGCGGCGCAGCCAGCGCGATCGCGCAGCCCGCGCCACCCGCGGGCACCGTCGACGCCGCCGCGCAGGCGGGGGCCGACGTCACCGCCGCGGGACCCGCGGCAGCGGCCTTTCCCGCCCTCGGCTCTCGTGAAGGAGCTCGCGTCGCACATGCGGGGCGCGACGCCTGTGGTGGAAGAGCCCCCCGAGGCGGTGGAGGCGCATCCCAGCGCGGTGGAGGCGTTCAGGGCGCAGCTGCGAGCCTGGCTGAGCGACCCCGTTGGGAATCCCATCGACTGGCGGTCGGAGACCGTGCTCGCCGTGCTCAAGGAGTACCAGATGAAGTACGACTACAAGAAGTTCCGCGACCGCGGCCCGCCTGGCCCCGCCATGGGCGGGCCGCAGACGTGGCAGGGCCAGGCGTGGCGCGCCAATGCGAAGCGCTGGGGGAACCGAGGTGGCGCAAAGCGCGAGATGTACGCGAAGCTGCACGGCAACAAGGCAGCGCCGCGGGTGCGCGAGGCGCACGTCCCCAAGCCTCAGCTGATGCATCGGGAGCCCATGGCGCCGAACTTGCCCAAGACGATGCCTCAGCAGGCGCCGTGGAGGACTGGCAATATGAACCCTCCAGTTCCGCCTCCGCCGCCGAAGACCATGGGGCCGCCGCCGCCGAAGACCAGGCAGCCGCCAGCAGGGAAGCCCAGCATGGTGCAGCCGAGGGCAGGGCGTCGGCTGCAGCCGACAAGCAAGATGGCACCACCGCCAGCGAAGCCGCGCCCGCCCGCCCGCGGAGATGTCTTCTTGTAGGGTGATCGCGTGGACCTGCAAGCGGGCTGGGGTGCATAGCTTCCGTAATTCGAGCGCGGATAGTTGCAGCTATCCGCGCTGACGCGTCATGACGCGCCGCCTCTCCCCGCCTCGTCTCATCTCATCTCTCCTCCCCTCTCTTCGTTGCCGATCTATCTCATTGGCGGACGCGCCGCCTCCCCCCGCCTGGCGGACAACCGCCGTTCAGATACGAGCATCGGCGCATCGGGTTTGTTCTATGCGGTTGGAAAAAAAAACACCAGTCCTTCCCTGAGCCACCCATTGGCGGCTAAACCGCCCTGAAGCCTCCATTGGCGGCCACGCCGCCCATTGGCGGCTAAACCGCCCATTGGCGGCCACGCCGCCCTGAGCCCTCCATTGGCGGCTAAACCGCCGCCGCCGCCTGCTGGCATCCCGAAATGTGCGATGCCACCGCGCCTCTTACACATGTATGTTTTTGTTGTTGGGACGCTGTATCGGCTCGAATCTAGGCGCGCACAGGCTCGCGCCCCACGCCGCCCCTGCGCTAGCCGTGCACTTCTCGCCCTGCCGCCATGGCAGGCCAGCAGGGCGAGAAGACCGTCATGTTCGGCTTCAAGTGCCCACAGAGCAGCAGCTGCAAAAGGGGCGGCAAGTGGTTCCAGGGAGAGACAGTGGAGGAGGCCAGGAACAAGCTGGTGAACCACCTTCACGTGTCGCCGTACCACAGCTTGAGCGAGGACGAAGCGGAGGTAGCTGCTATCGCACTCGAGGCCGACTCGTGGGAAGTCGACCTCGCGGAGTGGCGCCAATGGGAGGAGGAGAAGGCCAACTGGGGCTCCGCCAAAAGGCGCAAGGGGGCGCCGAAGGTCGAGCTGGCGCCAATCCCTCCACAATCCCGCGTGGAGCGCTCGCACCAGCTGAAGGACGCGTTCTCGGAGGGCAGCGGATCGTCAGGCGCAGCTTCGTCAGCCACGGCGGGCATGAGGATGTCCACGGCGTTGGCCAGCCAGATGTCGCCCGATAGCATCGTGGTGCTCAACGGCACCCAGTGCCAGGCTGTGCTCGACTCGTTGCGCCGCGCGCGTACTGCGACGCAGATGTGCGCCCAGATAGCGGAGCGCGCGGTGAACGCTTTCCGCCAAGAGGAGCAATGCATCGCCGAGTGCGAGGACGTGCTCGCGAGCTGGCTGGTGCGCAACGCGACCTCGTAGGTGCAGGTGCACGGCTGGCAGCACTGATGTCGCCTCAGCATCAGTAGCCTCATTCGCGCAGGCGGCGCGACGCGTCGGCCCTACACGCCCCCCTCCCACTCCTCCAACGCAATTTCAATCCACACCCCTGTGTCAGAACAAATTAGGACACCCCCACACACTCCATCCGCACTCAATTCGTGAAGGCCGCCACGCCGAGGTGAATTTTGGCCACGCAGGCGGCCGAGTAGCCGTCCCCCAATGCAAGGCGATATGGGGGCGAGTGGACGAGCGGAGCGGGAGGAAGGTGAGGGAACTTCGGCGGATAAGACAGGTGGGCGGTTGGATGGGATTTGGCAAAAGGGCTGGGTGGAGAAAACTGCATCCGCATAAGAATGAGTGCGGCTATTTTCTGGATGTGCTGCATCGCCATGTCCGCCCACCCCCCCATCGCCTTGCATATGATGACGCTCAGGCAGCGCGCCCCGATTGCGCGCGCTCGCCCGTCTCTTCGCTGCCGCTCAGGCAGCGCGCCTCGCTTCCGCGCTCGCCCGTCTTTTCGCTGCCGCTCAGGCAGCGGTTTGAAGCACGCGGCGCCGTCCGCGGTCGGTAGCGCAGGGCGCCGCTCCGCCCCTGCTGCTCCGCTTAACTAACTCGGCGGACGTGCCGCTACGCCGCCGCCATGCACTGGCAAAAAAAAGTTGGCTGTTATCATATGTTAGCAGATGTTATCACGCGCCTGATAACACCTGATAACACCTGATAACACCTGATAACATGTTATCAGGTGTTATCATGTGTTAGCATGGTGTTATCACACGCCTGATAACATATGATAACATATGATAACATGATGTCAATTTTGTGTGGTTGTCATGTTGCGCGCAATTCATTTCAGTATCCGTATCACCTCGTGCGTCCGCCACGCTTCGAGCGGCTAGTCCGCTGGCGGCCAATCCGCCTCCCTCGCCGCGCCCCTGCACCCTCTCAAGCGGCGAGTCCGCTGGCGGATATGCCGCCCCCTTCATACCTCACTCCACCCCTCCCTCCACCTTTGAAGCGGCTATTCCGCTGGCGGCTATCCCGCCTCACTTACCGCGCGTTTTCTTCGTCATCGCTTCGCGTCCAGTTCATCTTGGCATCAGGGCCGCGCGCGACGCGCGGCTTCTCGCGTGCCAAGGCGGTCACGCCGCCATGGCGGGGACGCCGCCCGCTGAAGATCACCAGCAGCATTCTCTGGCAGTGATGTTCGGAGCAGCCAGGCCGAAAAACAAGGGAGTGATGACCAAGGCGCCCGCAGCGAAGCCCCGTGGGAAAGCTAAGCTATCGGGGACGCAGATGACACTGACTGGACAGCTTGTGCCGCCGCTCGCATTGACCGACGCAGGGCCGCCGAAGGCACGCGGGAAAAGCAAAGGCAAGGGCAAAGGTAAGCACCCCGCAGCGTTGAGGACGGCTCGCAAAGCTGCGTCAGCCGCAGCTCCCGCCGAAGAACTGCCTCCTCAGGGCGCAGCGGCTTTGCCACCAGAGCCGGACGACGCAGCGTCAGAGGCGGCATCGGGCTCCGAGGAGCGCGGCGACGAGATTGGTTCCGAGCTCGGCGTAAAACAGGATGAGCTTGAGAGTGCCAAGCGTGAGCTTGAGGAGGAAGAGGCTCCACCGCAGGGCGCGGTAGCCAAGGTTGAGAATGAGGAGCGCTCGCCCGAGGCGGCAGCGCCGCAGGCGGAGGAGGAGGAGGCAGCTCAGGACGATCCGCCAGCAGGCGCTCCCCAGGTAGGGGAGTTCGTGGATGTGCATGGCATCGGGCATAGCATCGTGCGTTGCAACCGCTGCTGTCGCACGGCAAAGGAGTGCAACTACAGGATCAAGGCGAAGGGCCAGTCGACTTACCAGTGCGACGCGTGCAACACGAACGGGGTGCGCCTTTCTCGGAGGTTCGGACAGTGGCCGCCAAAGTGTTTCGCCAAAATGAAGAGTGAGTTCAAGCAGCAGTTCTACAAGGATCTGGCAGAAGATCCTGGGCTGTCGAACCTCGATCGCATTGAAGCCTTCGTGGTCAGCTCAATCACTGTCCAACGGATGGAGGAGGAGCGCGTCCGCAAGGGTGGCAAGTACCTTCCGCTGAGGAAGTGGGCGCACGACGGCTTCGACGCGAAAAAGATTGAAGATAATGTGCAGGATAAGAGGTGGAACCCTGATCTCGGGGAGTGGACGTACAGGCCGCAATTGGAGGCGGCCTGGAGCGAGACAGTGGAGGCCGCAGTGCGCAACGAGCTGTACACCGATAAGAGGACGCAGGCGAAGCAGAGCGGCCCGCGGGCAGCGGCCTCGACGGGCGTCGCAGAGCACGGCGGCGACAAGGGCGACAGAAGCGACGAGAGCGACATGTCCAGATCCAGGCGGCGCCGCAGGCGCAGGTCTGACAGCCGCAGGAGGAGGAGGCGCAGCATGAGCAGGCGCGACAGCAGGGGCAGGCGCGACAGCAGGAGCAGACGCCGCGACAGACGTCGCGACACCAACCGCAGCAGGAGCCGCTCGCGCGGCGACCGCGACAGGAGCAAGAGCCGCCGCAAGGGCAGGAGCACTAGCCGCGGCAAGAGCAAGGACAGGAGCAAGAGCAGGCCGTTTGGGGGTTCAACGCAGGGGTGTCGCCTGGGCTTCGCATTCGCTTTCGGTTTCCGTTCAACTCTTCAGGTTCGGATCGGGTTATTGATTTCGCTCGGCTCGAAGTGTTGTCATTTTCGGACAACCCCGAAGGCTCCGCAGGGATAAGGACGCTGAGAAGGAGCGGAGGCGACAGGAAGCGAGGGAGAAGGCCGAGCAGGCCAAGAAGGAGACGCAGGAGAAAAACCTGGCGCTGAAGTGGATCGGCACCGCAACGAGGCTCGAGACAGAGCTGGACGGGTACCTCGAGCATGAGAAGGCGGACAAGGTGCCGTCATGGGCTGTGAAGAACGCGAAGGCGGCGAGGAAGTCTGTGGCAGTCATGAAGGCGGTGGCGCAGAAGCGCGTGCACAGCGGCGTGGCGTTGACGATCACGCAGGACGAGGCCATCAGCATCCAGAAGGATGCGAGCTCGGCGGCGAGGGCCATCGCGGGGATGCTCAAGGAGGCGCAGAAGCACAGCACCTGAGCGCCCCATGGTGGCCCAGTACATCATGAAGTACGGCCTGAAAAAGGTGGAGAAGGACCCGAATAAGCCGCGGCCGCTGGGCCGCTCGTGAGCAGGGGCGGCAGTTGGGCCGCTCCTGACGAGGTGTGTGATTTCGTATATACAATTGTTATTGTTGGTGAAACAACATTTCCACCGCCACCCCACTCGTTACCACCGCAGCCCTTCGTTTGGCGGGGATGCCGCCTTTCCACTCTCGCAAGCCCTTGGCGGACATGCCGCCTTGCCTTCATTTGGCGGAGATGCCGCCTTTGCTGCTCATCGCGCTCCGATGCCTCACTTGGCGAGGCGAAGCGCTTGCCTAACTCCCTCCTGCTCGAGCGCGTCCTGCCCGAGACCCTACCGCGCGAGCTGTGGCTCGCGAAGGCCAGCGACACCGTTGGGAATCCCATCGATTGGCGGTCGGAGACGAAGCAGAGGCGAAGCAGCTCCTTGGCAGGGGCGGCAGTTGGGCCGCTCATGACGAGGTGTGTGATTTCGTACAATTGTTATTATTGTTGAAAAAAAAAAAAAACATTTCTTCGTTGCCATCGCCACCCCACTCGTTACCACCGCAGCCCTTCGTTTGGCGGGGATGCCGCCTTTCCACTCTCGCAAGCCCTTGGCGGACATGCCGCCTTGCCTTCATTTGGCGGAGATGCCGCCTTTGCTGCCCACCGCGCTCGCACCGTTCTCTCGCGTTTCCCAATGACATGATCTGCCACCGTCCCACCCCTCATCCGTAGTCTTTGTGGCTCAAGTGGAGCCGCTCGAGGTCGTGCCCCTTCGCGGTCTTGCGCCGCCATGGCGAGCATCGCGGACAAGTACGACGTCGATGACTTCGAGCTCATCACGGGTGGCAGTGCGTGGAGCTGGGCGACCATCGTGGTGCGCTTCATCGAGTGGCGCAATCGTTGCCGCCATGCACGCGCCGTTGGCATCAAGGGCCAGATGCTCATCGACAAGGCGCGGCGCATGATGGAGGAGGCGCGCCGCACCGAGGAGCGCGGCAAGATGCTGTGCCAGACGTCGAAGCAGATGGTGCAGGACATCCCAGGCGGCATTCGGTTCTTCTGCCGCCAGCCGCACCAGGAGAGCTGAGCGGCGATCGGCTGGGCCGATAGAGGAGGATAAGGAGGAAGAGGAGGCAGGATGAGGAGAGGAGGAGGAGGTGGATGAGGAGTTGGAGGCAGCACGCGCACCCGCACTAAGAGCCGCCAGCCGCCGCCGCGCCCGTCCCGCGCTGCGCCCGCCCCGAGCTCGAGCCGCCAGCCGCGCCCGTCTCCGAGCGCTGGCGGCTTGGAACCCGAGCTTGAAACTCAAGCTCGAAATTGCGTGCGAGAAAAAGAAATCTCCCTTGCAAGTTCCGTTGCTACGCTCACTTCGCGCCTCCGCAATCTCCCCCACCCACCCCCTTCCCCCCTCCCCCCTCCCCCCATGCCCCCTCGCCCCCACGCTCTTCGGCGGCTACGCCGCCCCTCCCGACCCTTCAGGCGGCTACGCCGCCATGCCCTTCGGCGGCTACTCCGCCCCGCGATCCATTCCCGCCTCCACTTCCGTCTCTCTGGCTGCAATTCGTTTTTCTCAACCGCGCTGGGCCTCGCGCTGCCCCCCGCCCCCGCCCCTCCCGCGCGCGGGCGTCGGCGCAATGGGGAAACGCGCCCTGCAGGTGGACAAGCAGGTGGAGCAGCGGGCTCGACTGCAACAGTGTCTGGCCCTGCGCGGCGTGTCCGCGGCTTTGCTCGAGCGAATCGTGACTGCGCTTGGCCATGGCGACGACGCGGGCGATGCTATAGACGTGAGCGCTCGGGCCATGCAGCGATCGCAGACGGCATCCGTGGCCGATCTCATCAGCGCAGTGCGGCTGCAGCCCAAGATCGGCACGCCTTTCCGATGGAGCGTGGCGCTGCCGCATCGGCTGATGCCGAGGCTCCTGTCGGACTGCCCTCTCTGGAGTTCAATGTTTTGGGAAGCGATGCGCCGTTTCCCTGTGTCGCGCGATCGGCCGTGGAGGCTTTTGCTGTACTACGACGACATTGGCGTGGGCAACGCCTTGAAGATAGATAATCGTCGGAATCAGCTCGCGGTGTATGCGAGTTTCCTCGAGTTCGGATCCTTCTTGCAGAAGGAGGTTGCGTGGCTGCCGATCGGCACCTTGCGCGTCGTCGTGAAGAAGAGCATCGGCGGCTCGGCCGTGGCGCGGGCATTGCTTCGCGCGCTGTTCCTGGGCCCAGAGAGTCTGTCGGAGCACGGTGCGCCAATCGGCGGCGTGCACTTTTTCGCCAAGTTCCACCGCTTGATTGCAGACGAGGCGGCTGGAAAAGAGACATTCTGCACCAAGGGCGCTGCAGGTCTGAGACCGTGCTTGCAATGCAAGAACGTTGTGCTGGATCAGGCGGAATGTCTTGCAGACTACGACGACGATGATTACCTCGTGCCTCTCTGGTGCGCTGACTCGTCGCGCTTTGACCCGCTGTCGTCAGACGAGTTTTTGCAGCAATATGATGATTTGGCGTCGCTGCGGGACACGACAACCAGAGCGAACATCGAGAGACTGGAGCCAGGGAGGAAAACATTTCCATCGATCCCCTTCTGATGTCCCCCCCTTCCTTCCCTTCTGATGTTCCGGCCCCCGAAGGAGACGGCAATGGGCATCACTCTGGATGACCGTTCTCTGGTGGCGTGCCAGGCGTTGCGGACGGTGGCGCCGCCGAGCACATACGTGAGGGACCCCATGCATACCATGCTGGCCAGCGGCGGGACCTTGCAGGTCGAAATCTTTGCGCTCCTCAAGGCGGTGAGGGATGTCATCCCCGACGCGTGGGGAACGTGGCGGGATCGCTGCTCGGCGTGGCGGACTGGCAGACGCGGCAGGAAACCGCCAGCGTTTCTGTTCAGCGTGGCTCGGAAGAAAGCGACCTGCAAGGCGTCGCACTTCGTGGGCAAGGCGTCGGATTGCTTGGCCGTGTTCCCTTTGATTCGTCATTGGGTGCACACAGAGCTGCGTCCCAGCGGCATGGCGAACGCTGCGGCGCGGTCGTTCGAGGCGATGGCGAAGATGCTCGAATTGTACATGCAGGGCAAAAGGACATGCGGCCGCAGCTGAAACGCAAACGCTGGCCTGCGCGTTCGAGGATGCACCGCGTCGGCCCGCGCGCATCCTCGAGCGCTTAGGTGGCAGGCGGTTCGGCTACGTCCTGAGGATCGGCGCCGTGCCGAATTTGATAGCTGTCTGGACCAAGGCCGTTTCGATTTCCTTGGCGCTGCACAAAGCCGCGCACGGGCCAGCCCTGATCAAGCCGAAGCATCATTATTTGTGGCACGTCCCCGACCAGCCTGCGGAGGACGGCATCTGGTTGGACGCCTTCGTACTCGAGCGGAAGCACAACCTGCTTCGGTCCAGGTCGCAGGAGATCGACAACCCTGAGAATTTCGAGCGGTCGGCCTTGACGGCGATGCTCGCCTGCTTCCTGGAGGAAGCGAAGGAGGCGCCGCGCTCCCGCGCCAAAGCGTGGCGCACGCCAGAGCTGGACAGTACGTTCGGGCACTCGGGGCGCAACCTTGCATGCCCTTTGTGGAGGAAGATGGGCTGGGAGAGGGGAAGGCGGTTTGCCGCCGAGGCGGCTCGCCGCCAGGAGGAGGAGGAGGAGGAGGAGGAGGAGGAGGAGGAGGAGGAGGAGGAACCCCTCCGCAGGGCTGAAACGTGGACCAGCAGAGAGGCGTCCATCGACGGCCAGATGTACGGCAGCCAGGACAGACGGCGCAACCAACCTTGGTATTTAGGGGTGCACATGCGTGTGCCCCCCCAAAAATCGAGGCGTTGCTGCCCTCAGGATTTTCTCCTGGGCGACGGCGAGGCGTACATCGTGCATTGCTGCGCGCAGGCTGGCGCCGCCAGCTACCTGCTGGTGGAGACCCTGGAATGGGTGCGCGCGCCATGCCCAGGCGCGTCCCTGTGGCGGCCGCGCGGCGACGTCGCCGTGATGCCCGCCGAGCTGATCCCGCCAGCCTGGGCGGCTTATCGGCGACTACAGGACGATGGCTATGTGCTCGCCATCACGTGAAAAAGGAAAAAACGAGCGCATGCGAGAGCGGATATGCCGCTGGCGGATGCGCCGCCCTTCGATAGAGAGGTGCAGGAGGGAGGGGCGGATATGCCGCCGAAGAAGGAAGGCGGGCTCGGGGAGGGAAGGCGGCAGGAGGGAGCGGGGGCGGGCTGGCCGCCGACAACGAGGAGAGGAGAGGGGAGGCGGTGATGGCCGCCGAGGGGAGGCAGTTTGAAGAATAGTTGATCCCCCCCCTCTCCCTCTCCCCCCTTCCCCTCCGCGCCCCGCAGGCGTCCTGAGGGCGGCTCGGCGCGTCGACCTGCGGCGCCCTGTCCTGAAAAACTGTTGTGTTGTAGTTGTTAAAACGTTTTTTGTGGTTTTTTCCCGAAACATAGCAATATCAAGAACAAACATGCAAAACATAGAAAGTTATGCAAATTTCGGGTTAACCGAATCGGACAGCCCACATCGACTTAGCTGACTTAGCTACTAAGTTGGGTATGTTGAGGTGTATGTATCGATATATCTTGGCAGTGGTACCCGATAGCTCAGTTGATAAGATGGATGGTTCTGTGAGTAGTATGTATGGTATGTTGTTGAATAACAAAACGTTAAGTAGATGAATGCGAAGTTCGATATTTTATATATGTTGAATATGTGAGGTCAACTAGCATGAACCTACATACATCTTCGTTGAAACGATTTCATCGGATATACAACGCTCTTACCGCACTTACACCCACCCGACGATCAAAGCAGGAGCCCACAGCGGCCTCCGGCACCGTTTCCGGACAGATCCGGTGGATCCGCCGACGAATTCCAAACTGGCGCCCTCGCTTGAGACATCCTCACAAAACCGGCCCGGGGGGAGGTGCCCAGAGGAGCCCAGAGCGGCCTCCGGCACCGTTTCCGGACAGATCCGCTGGATCCGCCGAC